GTTCTGTGCCGTCGACAGGAAATGATGAACTAACCAGGCTTCCGTTGCACAGGTTCTCACGTGTGCATGTTGCTCAGCTGCTCCCCCGCTCTCTCAATACATTGGGTAAATCGGTTCGTCGCTGCTTCTAGTGCAGATCAAGGGCCACCACGAAAAAGCTAGAATGCAAACCGACGAATTCTCTCGGCCACCGTCCGCGCAGATACATGAGTGTACAAAGGAACAGGTTTAGGGAAAGAGCCTGTGGGTTTGATTCGAACGCAACAACGACTCCAGGTTATCTTGGTTACTGATGTACCTGTAGTCTATTAGACTAAACAGGCCAAAAGCAGCACAGAGTGCAATAATCGAGACAACCAACTTGACCCTCAGCAGACAGACAGATGGGCACAAAGGGAAAAACATAAAGAGACAGAAAAGAAACACAAACACACCAGNGGTTTAGGGAAAGAGCCTGTGGGTTTGATTCGAACGCAACAACGACTCCAGGTTATCTTGGTTACTGATGTACCTGTAGTCTATTAGACTAAACAGGCCAAAAGCAGCACAGAGTGCAATAATCGAGACAACCAACTTGACCCTCAGCAGACAGACAGATGGGCACAAAGGGAAAAACATAAAGAGACAGAAAAGAAACACAAACACACCAGACAGAGAGAGCGAGAGAGAGAGAGAGAGAGAGAGAGAGAGAGAGAGAGAGAGAGAGAGAGAGAGAGAGGGGGGGCGGCAAGGATGCGTCGTTTGTGTCTTTGGGATAAATGTGTAAAAAGGCGTAGTCTAGAATGGTTGCGAAGCACGTAGTCTTACTTACATGTACGGCACAGTCCAGACCGGTGTTGGTTCCCATCCAAGAAAGTCGTTGACTTGTTCTCTTTGACGTAAGATTACCGTCGTATTGTCGGTATGTATACGTGGCGGTGAGATGGTGTGTAGTGTGCGCCGCGGGCGCGCACCGCAGAGCCACAGCAGCAGGCTATTTTGCTACTTTGCGGAGATTTGTCAGGATCTCCCCACGGAGCCCCGAGTGCGGCGTAACTCCGACCTAGTTGAGCCCTGGTCATCCCTGCTGCGCTGGGTTGGGCTTGCTTCCCAAGTGTAGGAGACGATCTCTGTAGGGAGAAAGGCGTTTGCCTGTCGTTCCATTCAGTAACCCTTGTGTCTCCTCACAGTCAAGCTAAACGCAGAACCCTGACAGCAAAGTGTACACAACAGAAGAACGAGCGTTGAACTCTGCCTCCAGCTAGCTGGAGATGGACCAACGCCTTGCCGAGGAGGATTCTGTGTGGGATGAAGACGTGGCTGAGGAAGGAACAGGAATTGGAGATGAATCAACGCCAGTTGACCATGATACGGTGAGTTGTGTTTGGTTCGTGTGAGGTTGCCTGCGGAGATTCCAAGTGCCCGAGCGGCCAGCTCACCTGCGACGGCAAGTATGCATACGAGGCAGTATGCAATGTAGATAGATATACCGCTGCGTGTAGCTCAGCTCGTATTCATAGGAACCGTGACATGGCGGGGGTGCACACGTGCACACCTTCTGTTGTGGCACCATCGTGTTCAGAACGCGCAACAGAGCAGGTAGATACCTTGCATGGATAAACACAAATCCATTTTCTGTGCATATGGTGGTAACAGGAGCATCCACCATTACAGTAGTGTCGACACATGCATCCGATTTGGGACGGTTGGAAAATTAATCCTGACCCAGCAGGCAAGACCATTTTTTTTTGTTTTACATGAGAGCAATGCAACCCGTAAGGCGCAGCTGCCACTGTAAGGACTTCAGCACACCCCTCGTGAGTTCCATTTCGGTGGGCAGTTTCCGTTCATGTGATGTGTGCCTTCCTCCCGTGGAAGCGAACTGTTTTCGCCTCGAGTACGATACAAGAGGATGCAGAACCGTTTCATGAAGAATCGTGTAAAGGTGAAGAAACAACAATACAGCACGCATAGATGCAATTGGAACGCCTTGTAGTGGGGAGAGATGATCACTTGCTTCGGGATGTACACAGTAGGCGTCAACGACGGTCCAAAGCCGACCCCCCCCCCCCTTGCCAGGTGTCATGCGAACGAGGAGGCCAACGTTCCGCTATCGAGGTATTTTGCAATGAGCTTTTCGGAGTGGGTTCTGCTTTCGATTTAGCCACGCCGCACGGAGCACGAGAAGGGAGCATGGCTCTCAGCCGCATGAGAGTTGCCAAGAATCCAACGCTCATGCCGAGTTTGGGAGAGTTCACAAGTGTCTACCCGTGTCTCCGGCAGGCGTTGGTACAAGGATGGCGACGGGCCGCCACCACAGGAGAACGGGTGGAGAGTGCATGTCAGGAGAAGGAAGACGACGCGCGCTCTCGTCAGGCCGACGGCGTCCAGATGAGCGATGATGCTCGGCACGCTGTTGCGAATCCCGTCCCACCGACCCCCTCCGACGTTCTCAATGCGAGTTCTGTTCGAATGATGTTGGGTATGGCCTCGGCATTGAGGACGACCAATCCGCAAGCGCTACAGGTGATATGCAGCACGCTGTTTGATTTGCTGCTCGAGACACCGCCGCTTGTGCTAGCACCTCTCCGCCAATCGCCGTCGTCCGTCGAGGCAACCACCTTCCGGAAGGTCGGCGAATTTTGTGCGGAGCTACTAGGGTCAGCGAATCACGCGGAACACCAACCGGCGCTTCGGCTGTACTTAGCCCTGGCTGTCAGCAAAGGCGAGGTCAGCGGCTTGCTGGAAGTCGTGAACTGTTTCTTGGATCGGGCAGGTCTTGACGCAAAGAATGGTGGGACACCAGCACTGTTACATTTTCCTGGTGGTGTACCGCCTTCGTCTACCGTTACTGTTGTGGACACTGCGAAGTCTGAGCGAGGCCAGTGCAGAGACCGAGACGCGGGGGTTTCGGCTGTGCTTGAGAGACTAGCGAACCAACGCGTGAATGCTGACCCTCCGTGCCCTAGTCCACGTGACGATGGACCGTTTGGGTGGAAAGAGGTGCTACGGAACCTGGTGGACGACTCTGAACGTACTCTGAAGGGTAGTGGATCACGATACAGCATTCCTCCTCTGCGCGAGACTGCGGTATTTGTGCTCGCACATCTCGATCGGCTGGGTGCCCACTACTTGGGCTCTAAGGGTGAACGGGCACAAGCAGGGGAGGTGGGGTCCCCCATCCCATCTCTCCAGAAACGAGGCTTGGACGTCCCCTTCTGCTTCGACGTGGCTCCGGAAACGTTCAGACACCTGGTTGATCTCGTGGAGAGATCTGCAGGGTCTATTGAGAAGGCCGTCCATGGAGAGGACGACGACAGGGAGGAGAAGACCATAGCAGTGTCAGAGGAATATTTGGAATTGTACGTGTTGTCTGCATCCCTCCGCCTTCTGAACATCAACATTGGAATTATCCTCGGCAGTGGATTAGGAGTCGAGGAATTCGGGGGCGATGGTCTGCGAAGATCTCTGCTTCGGTGCTTGCTAGGTCTTGTCAGGCATTGCGAAACCCATTGGACTCGGGCCGACGTCTCGTCCAGAGCGAAAAGCATACCGCATACCACCGCCCAGGTAGGGCTAGCAAAAGCGGCCGAGGAAGCTCTGCGACTCTTAGTGGACGGAATTGATCTGTTTTACCCGTCGCAGGGACTCCAGGCCAGCTTGCTCTCTTCGTATCTGCGTGCGTTTGGGACCATTAGCGAGTCTCATACAACGGCATCGCATGCGCTGGTGCTAGAGCTGCTGTGTCGTACGGCTACTCCAGAATTTCTCCGAAGCTTTCTGCCTGAGCGGATGCATCCAACACCATCCTGTGGAACGTCATCGCACGGAGAACTCTTGTTGGGACCCGGGCTCGCGTCTTGCGAGGAATCGCCGCGCAGTCCTGAAACCCTCCACAGCTTTGCCGAGGTCCTTCTGGCGTCCTCAAGCGCTCAAGCCGTCAAAGAAGTGCGGCATGCGGCCGGGATGGTGTCTGTGGGATGCGACTCTGCACCCGGAGCGAAAAGTGTGTTGATGAGCGACAAGTTGAGAGAATCTTCGAAGGAAGTAGGGCAAGCTGTCCTGCGAGCTTTGGACGCTGTGCTGAATCTACGGTGCGTCGACGCGTTCCAAGCGGCCAAGGAAGGGCGCGTGGAAGGCATGGACTCAAACGCGGATATCCGAAAGTTCTTGTTGCTGGTACTACAGGCATCCAACAACATCCTTGCCGCCGCCATCGAGGCGCGGTGTTGCGCGACGTCAGCCGATGTGTTCGAGAGGGTGGTCGAAGCGGTTTGCAATGGGTTGGTGGGAACCCTGCTACCATCTTGTCTTGCATCCGCTCTTGCTCTTCCAGTTGATGCCACGGATCTCCTTCACGAGCCCCTGCAACAGCATCTCGTGCAGTTGACCGGCAAGTTGAGACTCTTGAAAATGGCAGGGTGCGCTCCACATGCTTCAGCGCAAAGATCTCCAAGCGTGCAGTTGAAAGGCGAAATTGGAAAATTGCAGGCGGACTTTGGGGTGGAAGCTTTGGGGCAGGAGTCACTAGGGGAGGGCGGCGTGGGAGCTACGACCGAGCATCGACCCATGAAGGCAAGCCTGGCTTCTCAAGGGAGGGAAAAGGAAACCGGGTGGTTGTGGGGGGGAGGGGGGGGCGTACTCTTAGGTTTTGCATGTCTTAGCGGTTAGACCATTGACCACGCGTCCTCGAGAGGACGGAGCATTGTTCCCACAGGACCGATCACCGATGGCCAATCGTTCCTTTCTACTTTGCCAAAGGTGGCTCAAAAATGTCTTCCCTAGTCTGTCTATCCTAACGATATCCCTTCCCGCCTTCTCAACCCACCTCCTATGCCCTACTACAGCTACTGTCCTTTCCTCTCTATTCCATGCCTCAAACATCTCCCGGTACGTTCCATCTATTTTTCCCAGCTCAGTCACGTACACTTCCCTCTCCTTTCCTATTCCTTCCTTCAACATCCCGTACACTTCTAGACCCTCCTTATCCTTACGTAGATTCTTTCCTTAGATTCTGTGACTTATCTCTCGGCACAAGCAACAGGTATCTTCTCCTTGAACCCCTGTAGACCCTCCGTTTCCAGCGTTTCATCTTCGTCGATGTCGAGCCCCTTCCATACGTCCTCTACAACCTTGACCCATTCCGTGGGTTGTCTACCCCTCTTTTTGTTTGCCCACTTCGCCTCCCATACAATTCTCGGCAACCTCTCCTCTCCCATCCCGCACATGCGATACTGCCATGTCAGCTTCCTCGCGTCTCCTCCCGACCGTAGGGATTGGATCCCCAATTCTGCCCTAACGGTTGCATTACTCGTGCGCTTGGAGCATCCTCCTAGGATGATTTTCGCTGCTTTCATCTGCGCCGCCTCGAGCTCTTTC